GGCAAGATAGGCACGTATATAAAATTATGTTATTTACAATGTATAAGTTGGAATTCACTATTAAAACAAAGAAATACAAGTCCAACACCTATTTAATATTATTACAACGAAATGCAAGTTCAAAGACATATATAAATTAGTGTTGTAACGAATAGTATATTCGGCCTGAGACCGAATACCGAATATTCGGCCAAGAGCGTGGCCGAATAGCCGAATATTCGGCCAAACTATTCGGCTTGATTAACGCACGTACGAAAATTGGCGCGCAAACCGCACTATAGCAAAGATCCTGCTCTCTATTGGCCCGCTGTCACTACGCTTCGCCAATCGCGTTAATTATTGGCAGTTGTAGCGGACAGACAAGAGCGTCACGGCAGTATGTGATAAATGATGATATCAAATGTGGATAACAACGAAATGTTCTACACGTGTAAATAACGGAAAAAGAACAGAGAAAAACCGCGAAGTGAAAATGTGAAAATTAATATGAAATTGAGTTAACATAATCGAACAAGTCGAGGCAGCTTATTGGCGCGAAATTCGCGGCCGTCAATGCCAAACAATTGTTGTCATAGACTTCGGAAAGCTAAATGCTTGTAATGAAAGTNTATATATATATTTACTTAATTATATATATATATATATACATTTAGAATTAAATAAACTAAATAAAATGCACTTTACTAGCATTCACAGTGAAAAAGTGAATAAAATCAGTGTGAATGTTACGATTGTGGACTGCGAATGAATTTTCCTGGTTTTCGTTTTTGATAGACCTAAATAAAATACCATAGAAAGTCCCCTGGCAGCTCATTGAAATATTCCGTTGCTTTATTCTATCAATCCCATCTAATCCGCTTTAACTATTCTAATAATAATTATGTTACACAAAACTGTAATACTATGTCTTAATTTAATTTCTACGTCTTTAGGAATGTCGAAAGTAAGTAAAGGAGTCAGTAACTAATTTTAAAACTAAAAAATCATTGACTTTCAAATATTCCTCATTAAAAAGCCATGTGATTTATATAACTTTCAAGAAACTTATACATAATTATTTTATAAATACAAATTAAAATAACTTATAACTGATATATCACAAGTATATTTATATTTAAAATGTGAATGTTTTTCAAGGTCACATATCTACTTCTATCAGCATGCATTGTTCGTTATTTATCTTCTTATCAATAACTTTAATCATTTCATAAGATAATTAAACATATTAATAAAAAATAGACAAATTTTATCTTTTTTTTCGGTATTAAATCTAATACCGAATTTTCGTCATTCCGTCCATTCTTACTTTAAGTTCATCGATTGCAGTAGTTAATTTTTCCCAGTTATCCCGAGAGTCCGTTGGTGGATCGGAAGCCTCCTTGACCGTACGCATGACTCCGCGTGCGTGGGCTGTGACCTTTTCTATCATCTCCTCACTGAATGCTGCTTGTAACGCTTCATCAAACGAGGTTGGTTCACGCGACATGGTTCTCTGCCTTATTTTTACTTCTAGTCCATATAAAAATTGAGCTTTCAACCTCTCATCAAGTTCTCGGTCTTGAACTCTCCGAATTATGGCTGTTTCAGTTGCATTGGCACCTACCTGTTCTATTTCAATTTCCGTGGCTAGTGATTGCAATCGCATCACGTACGTCTGTACATCTTCGTCCCTTTTCTGTACACATGCATAAAATTTATTAAGTCTAAGTGTATAAGGGATCTGTCCAAACCTCTTAATCATTATCTTTTTGAACGTATTATAATCTCCTACATCTTTTATCCGTCTGTCTTTCCGCACGAATTCCCGCGCTAAACCTGCAAGTTTTAATTTAGCGATTGCAAGCATTTGAGCTTTCGACCAACCCGCTATCTTTGTTATATCCGCGAGCGATTCGAAAAAATCCGTTATTCGGGTACCATCTGGATCACCCGTAAATACCGGCAGTAGTGGAATCATTCCGCCAATACCTCCTAAGGCCATTGGGTTACCCGCCGAAGTCGCACGAGGGGTTTCGTTTTCCATTCCGCCTAATTTCTTATTCTATTTGTGAAGACTCGTACTATAGCCGTTTAGCCTTATCGTATAATAACCCCACTCCTGGAAAACCAATATGTGAGAATCGGGGTTTATGCATCAAAGCTTAAACCGTTTTCCGACAACGTAACGTCTATAGAATAACTGTTAAACAAATAGAGATGATTTCTCTTATTGATATTTTAACATTCTCCGTTTTTTTCTTGTTCGAGGAGAGCGTCTCGGTCATTGACCGTAGAAGTCACCCTTTTCTCTTTTACTAGGAAAATTCCTAGATTTATACTGATCTAAAACAGAAAAAGGGTTTCGGACCTTCACATATAATTTAAATTTTAATCAGAGATAAACGCTATCATGATACATAATTAATAGAAGAATTATCAGAAATGACCATGAAATTTATAATAATTATGAACGGATTCCAACTAAATTCCTGTATAACAGTAAAACAATGCTTCATTGTTAAAAATACTTTAAAGGATTTATTACTATTATATTAATAAGTATAGTTTATAAATAATGTAATATGAAAATATGCAAAATAAACAAAACTTGCATTGTGTCTGAATTATATAGGTTAAAATTCCCATACAAACCTATAGTTGCTGTTTAAAAATATCCTGATATAACAAATTTATTTTGAAGTACCTATAATTTATAAAGTTCAGTACATAAAACTAAATAACAAACAAAAAAGAGTATAAGTGAAACCAAATTGGATGACAATTTATGTCAAATACTTAAAGGTTTTCTACTTTGTCTATTAGTAACCAAGTGAATAAAAGAACTAAACACTGATAGTTAGTCGCGAGTTTTGCTTAACAATAGCGATGACAACTTTAAACTTTATGTATTTGCTTTACTTACTAAACACTTGAGTAAAAGTGTCTTTCCTGCACGGCTTCCTTCCTTTTCATGTCGTCCACATCTTGCGCTGGATTATTCTATAAAACTAAACCAATGGATTTATTTACTTTTCCTTCATCTACAATATTACATTATACAGAAAGTAATAACTAAATAATGAGTAGATAAGAAATTTACCGCCTTATTTTGTTAACATTTCTGAATGTTTATTTTAATTTTTCAAGCATTAATTCTAATATTAATATTGTTTCATTTCATGAATATAAAAGAGGAAAACGATTTCAAATGTAAAACGGATGACATATTCCTTCTGAGTTTCTTACGAGCAAGAAAATTCAACAGAGAAAGAGCATTGACATTGCTCAAGAACTATTATTTGACAAGGAAGAAGTATCCCGTTCTTTACAAAAATCTTAAGCCTTCAGCTTTAGAAGAAAGCTTACGTCAGAACGCGTTATCATGTGTAAAAACTGAAAATGATACGGTAATAACATTATTTAGTTTCGGTAAGTAACAAATTTTAGCTGTAAAGATACACCATACGTTGTTTTTAACATAGTTAATTAAACTACAATTCATTCGTATACAGGTCATTGGGATGCTACTAAAGTGGGAATAGTGGATATGTTAAGAGCCGTGTTGTTATCCGCTGACTTTGAACTGAATAATCATCCTATACAAGTAAATGGATACTATGTTTTATTTGACGCAAGGATATATCGTGGAGACATATTATTCAGTACACTCCAAGAAATATTCAATTAGTGGTTATGAGCATGATGGTAAGTCTAAATCTATATACAGTATAATTTAATTGGATATGGATATTGGAATTATAGAAAATATTTGGCGTTGAAAAATCGTATACGTATCATGAAAAAGAATAATATTAAGAGACTTCGAACAGTGTCGTAGTTCGACAAATACAATGGAGATATCGACGGCTAAGAATTATGTTGTCGTATCGCCAGTTTCGCAGGAAAGCGATTCATTTATCAGAGATTACGGTGGTAACGGTACCCGTGTACCTGCAAAAACGAAATAACAATAAAGTTAATACAATTTGGTTGTGCAATAGTACGTAACTCTAAAATTCCAATTCCTTTAAAAATATAAATCAAACTAGCTGCAAGGACCCGCTTCGCTGGGTTTTTATTTGTGGCAAAAAGTAACGATAGTGAAGATTAAGATAATTACATTATAGCCAATCTTACCCGTTTTCACAGAATGCAAGAATTAGGCCCCCCGTTTCCAGACTAATTAGAGACCTGCTCCCGATTCTATTTCTGAACGTCTCCTGTTCACGTCCAGTCAAACGAACTATTTTTAACGTTTCTGGAACGTTTACAATCGTTCTATAATCGAACCCTTTTCCGAGCAACGCCGGGCTAATTTGCTTGTTTAGACATTAAATAAATTAAAAGTTATTTTGTAATATTATATTCAAGCTACTACAATTTAAATAACTGGTGCGAGAAAGCAATAAGTAATTTCATAAATAAATCTTTAATGCGACATAATGCGACAGCACTAGAGAATTCAGTTTAACACTGAAATTCAGTCGCTGAATTACTTAACAAGAAATGTACTTTCAATGGAGAAAACAAAACAAAAAAAATTTTAAGCTACGCCGAAGTTATATAAATTTTTATAACTTATTCCGTAAATGTCTGTCTTTTTAATCGGAATAAAAATAATTTCGGTATAGACTATCACACAGCTGTATGGTTGTTTGATAGACTATATTATATAAATCTCTTCTGAAATTTTGGGGAAACTGAACTTGCCTTTTATTACAGTGTTAAAGATAAAGAAAATCGTATTAATTAGAATGTCAAGCCAGAGACTTGGGTGTTTTATTATTTGAAAAATGCGACAACACATTTCAATGTGTACAGCGAAATACAGTAGAGCATCGATTATCCGACTCGATTGGAGACTCGGGTTGGTCGGATAACTGAAAAAATCGGATAATCGAAAAGAAGGAAAAAACACATCATTAGTATAGTATATTAGGATATTAGTATATCCCATGTAATTAGTTTATTAGTATATCGCTATAAACTATATTTGCGTTGAATTTTCATCGATGTTAATCCAAACAAATTTTTTTAAAATAATAATCGTCGCTATTGTATCGTTAAAAATTATTTTAAATTTATTTTATTGCTCACGAAACAAACAACCACTCATAACTAGAAAATTAAGACTCGTTTAAATATTGGCCTCCCGTTTATGGTCGAGACATTGATGCCAGCTAAAACACGCAAAAATAATATTAAAGTAGCCAAGACATAGCCAAAAATTGTAATGCCACATCACTAGCGGACATTTGAAATTTGCCGACTAGAACGGCCGGTTAACCGATGTGACAGTTAATCGGGGGTCGGATAATCGATGCTCTACTGAAGTAGAATATTGTCAAAACTTGTAGGGAATGTAGTGACAAGTGTTAGGTTGTATGACAAAATATAAACATGTAACTTTGAAAAAAAACAAACGCGTTTTGTCTTATTTCCAAATGAACATTCAAATTTCTCCGCGTAATATAAAAACTATGCATATCAGACTGAAAATATTAAAATAATATCAACGGGAAGTAATAAATCATATACAAGTTCATAATATTCAGTTATAATAAATAACAATTTTATGATATATTATTCTTTAATTAATTAATTAATTAATTAAACTATTCTCGTGAAAAATTTGTGAAAGTAGAGATCAGACGTTATATTTCTCCGCTGTCGATATCTTGTTTTGATCATTTTTATGCACTTTTATAGGTTGACATATCAGTTAAAATATAGTGGTTTCTTTGACAATATTTTACCGAGAATAGAGTAATTGCTCATGCATTTTCTACGTTACGGACATAATTCTTCAAAACTGAATCGTCACAAGTTGTGGTCGTGTGGACAATTAAAAGAAGTGGTTTATCGAAACCTGTTAGTACTCGTATAGCATTAAAAAAGTGTCGCACTGTATGTAAAAATTATTACGATAAATCAGTTATGTAAGCTTTTGAACAGTCTGTTTATCCAACTCAGGCATAAGAAATTCTCAACGAACCGCACTGAGAAAGCCGTATAGGTTGATCTTTTGCCCATTTTTGGTGGAGTGCATGAAATCTATAAATTGTGATGTTGAAAACAGTTTATCCGCGTAGAGTTTTCTGGACTTTCTTCTCGTCTCTATCTTTTAAAGCAGTGGTTCTCAACGTTTTTTGTTGATTTACCCCATTAGCCCATTAGTTGTTTCTCAAGTACCCTTATATTTTTAACGTAAATTTTATAATTACTGCATTAGATGTATACGGTCCTTATAAAAACTTTAACTAACTATAACTAAAAGTGAATTACTTATTTTACATATATAATAAATTTAATCGGGTACATACATTTATTTATTATTATTTGATAAGTATATTATATAAAATCACAGAAGTCATTTCAATACATGCATAAATTACATTTCCTGAAAATAAATAATTATAATTAAAGAAAATTTAAATTATTCTATAATAATTTCTAACAAAATTTACTGGGATATTTGTTGCGATAAATCTTCAACAATTTTTTGAAAATTTGGTTCCCACGTTGTTAAATAGAGATTATAATTGTGTACTGATCTTGAAAGTAATGGCTGCGAATTTATAACGTGCAGAACAATACATGAATCTTTCAATTTTTGTAACAAATGTAACGTATAAATTTGCTAAATATCAAGTAATGCACGCATGCAGTGACACTCATTACATGGTGCGGGTACGATCTAGGCCTCGTTATTTCTAATACCAGTAGTCCAGTAAAAACACGAAAAGTGCCGATGTTATCGAGCAATAATTATAAAATAGAAAAAAAAAAGTTTTTTTCTATTCTAAAATTAATGCTCGGTTACACTGTAATTTTACTAGACTACAGATTCACTCGGCACTAATGGCACAAATAGACAGGCAAATCAAGTGGATAAACAAGTTGTTTAGACTGTTAAAAGGGAAATTAGTGTTCACACTGGGATATTTTAAAGCAAGTTTTTGTTGTTTCTTGTGTTAATAATTTACAGCAAATTGATTAACATACGCCATTTTATAATGAAAGTTAGATGTACCCCTTCGATTTATTCTCGTACCCCTAGGGGTACATGTACCCCAGTTGAGAACCACTGATCTACTGTATATAAAAGCGGAAAACCGGTTTCTGCCACGGTATGCCAAAAACACCCACTAGGGGCGCCCCTAGCTATTATTTTATATTTTTATAATATATTATT